GGTGGGCGGGCATTTTTGAGCCTCCAGGCTTTCAGGGCTGCTGTGCACTGCCCACACACACCAAATTGTGACTCCAAGCACGGGGTGTGCGACTGACAGGGGGACGACAGGGCTGCACTCGGGAAAAGAGTCTCTTTCTGAGCTGGACTCTCTGGGCTAAACTCAGGAACAGGAGCCCCCTCTGGGCTTGGCTGGGAAACAGGAGCCCTTCCTGGGCAGAGCATAGGAGCGGGAGCCCTCTCTGGGCTTAACTTGGGAACAGAGTTTTTCTCTGGGCTTGACTTGGGTACTGGAGCCCTCTCTGGGCTGGACTGGGGAACAGGAGCCCTCTCTGGGGTGGGCGTAGGAGCAGGAGCCCTCTCTGGACTGGACTGGGGAACAGGAGCCCTTCCTTATGATTCCATTATAATGTTGAAATTCAGACAAGTAATGAGTTTACATTTACATTATTATATGAAATCACCTACTACAGTCAGCCATTGAATACTATGGGCCTAAAAAAATTCGTAATTTTCTTTCAGGCATACCTTTTTTATTATATAGATGTAATATTTTCTTCATTTAATTATTTTCATTTAACTAACATGAATGAAAATACTAAAATGAAAATACCTACATGTTCAATAATAAGTAAATAAATAAACAAACACTAATTGGTGTTATACTACACATGATAATTATTTAAATAAGCATATATTTTAAAAAGAATATCATTCATTTCATGAATATCAAGGACTTTTGTCAGGGTTAATCCATTTGACCTAATCAATATGTGCCTATTCATAAAATATGTGATATTTTACATATTTACATCACAAAGTATAGCATGCAAATATGTTTATGTAAATTTATAAAACTACTTGTACCTTCACTGCTTACGTAAGGGAAAGTTCACCCAAAAATGGAAATTGTGTCATCATTGTGTCACCCTCAAGTTGTAAATCTATGAGTTTCTTTCTTCTGTTGAGCACAAAGGAAGATATTTTGCAGAATGCTGGTAAGCAAACAGTTAAATGCGTAATTTTCTTTCAGGTATACCTTTTTTATTATTTAGATGTAATATTTTCTTCATTCTATTTATTTTTATTCATTCATTTTCATTTAACTTTTTGATACACAATACCCTGTTGGGGCAACTTAATGGCTGCACTTTGTTCTGCACTATGTTCCACCATTTTAAGACAAATGGATTTGTTGTGTTTTCATATTCAAGAGATTATAAGCTAGATGCGGCCTTTTTTGGGTTTGCATCGAATGTTCTTGGACTTTAATGCATAATAAATTTGTTTTGTTTGAACAGCAAATAAGCTGGCGACACTTTGGTAGTTGTGTGTGGAGTACTGCAATAGCACAGCAAGAAGTTATGAAGGCGTTGATGAAATGTGCCTTACCCAATAGAAGCTTTCAAAACATGTTTCATGGTCTGGACGAACCTTTCTGCTAGCCCATTTGTTGCAGGATGGTAGGGCGATGACTTAATATGTTGTACCCCATTTGGTAGCAGAAATGTGGCCATCTCATGCGATAGAAATTGGGGTCCATTGTCTGAGACAAACTGCACGGGTGGTCCAAATCTACTGAAAATTTCTCCCAACTTCTCAATTGTCTTATCAGCTGAGGTAGATTTCATGATAGCCACTTCAGGCCACTTACTGTGTGCATCAGTGACAACCAACAGCATTTTGACCTCGACTGGGCCTGCAAAATCAGCATGAATGCGATGCCATGGTTTCTCCAGATATTCCCACGGGTGCAGCAGTGCCAGTTGTGGTACATTGCGTATGCTCTGACATGACGTACATGTTCTTGCCTTTTCCTCAATTTGGCCATCCACTCCTGGCCACCAGAAGTAACTCCTGGTGATCTCTTTCATGTGGACCATTCCACAGTGTCCCGCATGTAGCTGTTTCAGCACTGATTTACGCAGAGCTGGTGGAATAATCACTCTCCTTCCCCACAACAAACAGCCTGACTGCACCGAAAGTTCATGGCGTCGAGACGTGAATGGTTTGAGCTCTCTTTCATCATTCTCACCTTTCCCTGTCATGACAAAATCCATGACCTTGGACAAGACAGGGACAAGACACCAAATTGTGACTCCCAGTACGGGGTGTGCGACTGACAGGGGGGACGACAGGGCTGCACTCGGGAAAAGAGTCTCTTTCTGAGCTGGACTCTCTGGGCTAAACTCAGGAACAGGAGCCCCCTCTGGGCTTGGCTGGGAAACAGGAGCCCTTCCTGGGCAGAGCATAGGAGCGGGAGCCCTCTCTGGGCTTAACTTGGGAACAGAGTTTTTCTCTGGGCTTGACTTGGGTACTGGAGCCCTCTCTGGGCTGGATGTGGGAACAGGAGCCCTCTCTGGACTGGACTGGGGAACAGGAGCCCTTCCTGGGCTGGGCGTAGGAGCAGGAGCCCTCTCTGGGCTTAACTTGGGAACAGAGTCTTTCTCTGGGCTGGACATGGGAACAGGACTGACAGAGGGCTCCGACGAAGGAGGGAGGAGAGGGGGCAGATCAGCATATACATCCACGAACTCTCCCTTGAAGTCCAGCAGTCCCAGATCCACATTCAGCTCACCCTCAGCCATGGTGCAGGGGGCGGAGCTCCTCTCCGCGATCTCGCAGTCCACAGCTTTTTCCCTCGTGGCAAGCTCTGTTGCCGGCTCTCGCACCTGGACTGACGTCATGAACAGCTCTGGCTCCACAGCGATCCTCAGCTCTGTCGCTCCTTGCATCG